ATAGTTAAAAGGGCTTTGCAGTGCCTGCCATCTATTTTTTTTTTTAATTTCTGAGATGGTGGGATTGAGAAAGAGGTATTTTGTGGCTTTCATGTAATAAGACCTCATTTATTTTTCCAAGTAACTCACCATGTTTGCAAATTTAGGGATACAGACTCTGATTTTATTGACTCACATAGATTGCTTGCAGTTCATTTACCTTCAGTGAAAGTTTTTGATTTTATCACAGTTTTCTGTTGTCTTAAAAAGGGGGAGATAGTAAGGAATGCTGAAAGAACTTCAGAATGGTTCTCTTCTATGCACTTATGTTCTTTATAACATAAAAACACTGAAGTTTGGTTTGTTGGAAGCTTAATGAGAGTAAATGGCTGCCTCTTTTAGCTATGAAACAAGAAAAGCCAAAGGCAACCTCTGTAGTGCTAATAACTGTTGCCTCTGGTGCTTTTTTCTTTCTCTTCTTCTTTCCCTCCCATCTATCATGACAAATTATATAGGGTTCAAGAGAGAGGATACCATTTACAGGTGTTAATGTTCCACATAACTACTGATTTGTAGAGTTTATGTTTCTGATTTAGCCTTGGAAGGAAACTTGTACTACAAGACAAGGAGGAAGACCATACAGAGGAGCAGAAGGTATGAGCTGAAACATATTACTACCCTTATTTTCCAATTTGTTCTTCAGCATGAGCTGATCAGCAAAGGTACATTTGTACCTTTTTTACATCATGTACATTTTAAGGTACATGAGTGAAAAAAAGGTGATCTTCCAGGCCTGTTAAAAAACCCAGGAGAGGTTTTCTTCTCTGCAAAGGAAATTTTCCTGAAGCATGGTAAGAGATGGAAAGACACTGACTTTGGCATAAGCCACAGAGCATCTCTTATCCCTTGATATTATTTAAGAGTTATCACAGTGAAGAGGACAAATATTAATAACTTGCAACAGGCAGTGGAGAAGGTCACTGGTTTATCACCACTGACACTGAATATTCCATAGTGTCTCTGCCTAAAACAGCCATCAATCCCTTACGAGGTGACTTCCATGGAAATATATTTGAAAGCATAGAAACAGGCTTGTATTGTTTCACTGCAGTCCAACAAAGGAAATAGGTATTTTAAAGATGAAATCTCAGTTTTTTATTTTTAGTATTCCTACAGTGTGGTTCATGAAGGTCCATAACAGTGCATCAGAAAAATTACTCTGCTGCATGAATATATGGCTAAGCTATATATATGGTAAAACTGATAAGAACACATCATGGCAATATTCAGCTGTTGACTAGCAGCCAGTTAGAGAGTGAGGAAGCCTTAAAAGAACAGAGAGCCTGTCTGTTTTGCCATCTTCTAGGAGAATCTCCTCTTTTATACCAAACTTCTGGACAGCTGCAGATACTGCCAGCAGCCCTCACCAGATTGTACCTCTGTGAGCAGCAGTTGTCTCTTCTCTGTTAGCAGCTTCTTCACATGCCCAGCACAGAACTGTGCTGCACTGAGTGCTCCGAGGCTGTTGTGAAAGCCCTGCTCTTCTTCCTTTCACTGTGGGTAGAGGAGTGGAGCAGTGGAAGCTGGTGAATCTGGTGGTACTCAGCCTGGTAGAGCTTCATGGACTGCCAAACCTCCACCTACTGGGTTTTTGTTTCTGTTTGTTTGTTTGCTTGTTTTGGTTTGGTTTTTTTGTGTGTGTTTGTTTGTTTGTTTTTGGTGGTTTTGTTTGATTTTGGTTTGGTTTGGTTTTTTTTCTGTTTGGGTGTTTTTAAGCTGTTCAGGATGTTTGTCTTGCAGTGACTTAGTCTTGGGTCTGCCCAGAAGAGTTGGTTCCCAATAGTATAGTGCTAACAGCAGGAATCAAAGTGCCTGAAATATATTCTCCAGGTAGTCACAAAAATATGACTTTCTAAGTTTGGCACTTTGGGAATGTGTTCTCAGCTGGTAGAGAAAGGGTTAACTAACAGTGGGGAAGATACTGCTTCTGCTGTGGCAGAAGGGCTTGGCCTGCTGGGAAATGAGGTGTTGAATACCAAATGTAGTGCAGTAAGCACCATCCAGCTTATGGAGTAGGATAGGAGACCTTGCAGAAGACCCAGAAGATAAACAGAGAACCATGGGAGGACTGTATGTGGAGCAGCCGTGTAAACACAGTACTGGTCATGTAAAAATGCAAACAGCAGAGGACACAAATATGTACCTGGAACTAGAGCAAAGCACACAAGTCCTGGCTGTCAGCACCTCAGGAAAGCAGCACAGAAGGTTTCAGTGTGGATGAAGGGGTGTCAGCAGGCTTGGATCAGTGTATGTTATCACATATACAGCCTTTGGGAATTTGGGTTTGGGGTTTTTTTGTTTTTTCCTTCACACTGAAAATGGATGCAATTTTGCTTACATTTTTATTTTAGATTATATGTTGTGGGGTTTTGGGGTTTTTTTTAAGATGAGGCAACTAAAGCTCTTTGCTGTTAAGTATAGCTTTTGTTTGATACAGTATTTTAATACGCTGTGAGGGTAGGATATGTTCATAGTAAATTTTATTTTAGCAAGAATTGGATCCTTTTTTGTAGATCTCTAAGTAGACTTCTTTTCTGATTATCAGAGTAGAGATATTGATATCTGAGGATCTAAGGTTTTTGAATCCAAAGTAAGTACTATTGAGCAATATGTTACTCAGTGGTTGTTTCTTTACTTTTCAAAGGGACTGGTAAAAATTACACTAAATTGAAAATATACTGCTTTAATGTATATCAGAAGTCAGTGACAGCTAATGAATGATTATGAATGATCATCTCAGTTTATATGGTCAGCTAATCATATGATATTTGCTTGCGAGGTAAACATTTTCCTCACAGAATTCAAAGACTTAAAATCACAACAAGCACTTTTTTTTTTCTTATTTCTGGAATTGCTTTTGTACAGATGTGAGTTTAGTGAATTTGAAACTATGACCAAATATCAAAAATTGCTACAAAGGTTTAAAATATGTTAAGTGTCAGAATGTAGGAGGGTTTAGTTTGGGGTGAGACTGTCCTGAGACACTGCTTTATCACCATTTCCTTTGGCATCCTGCTGTTGCTGGGTCATTTAGTAATGTGTTGTGAAGGCTCTTCCACATTGTCCTTGGTTCTTTAATGTGCCATCAGGCACAGGTAAAATGGCTTTACTTGAGAGTTTAGTGCCATCTTCACAGCTGTTTAGGGTGGATAGAAAGGAGGGATGAGTTAGACCTCTCATAAGTAGGTAAGAGCCACAAAGCCTTCTTGAACATTTCTGTCCATGCCTAGTTCCTGTAACAGCCTTGCAAGGAGGATATTTCTCTACTCTCCTTAGCCCTGAGAGCATGACTTCTTATTTTCTAAAACACCAGTGGTATAACTGGCATGTATCCTTGCCTGGTGTGCTGAAGAAACAGGTCTGAGCAAGAGGAGACCCCTGGCACAGCCCTGTCTGTGTTGATATTCTGAGGAGTGTAGAGACCACCTGGGATTGGTAGTCTCCAGATGTAACAACTGTTGCCTCCAGTGAAATTTAGTCCCATTTCCAGTGGTGTGTGCTGTTTCCAGTGTTCATCTGTTTCTACTAGGACACTGGAAAAACTCAAGCAATAATACCATCCAGATGCCCAGAAATTTAATTTTTTTTGTGGCCATTTTTATTAACACTGGTTATTTCCATCTCCTTCCTATTTTGAATGTCCTTAAATCATATATTGACCATTAATGGATAATATTGAACACTGAAGTAAGGCTGGGCATTTTGAGTGCAAAGACTCATTCTGGCGTTTGTACCAGAATATTGTGTCTGCATTTGGAGCTGCTGAGTAGGATACACAAAAGGAAAAATAGATTGATTGTCAGAAAAATACATTATGTGTAGTGGTTGCATGGGAAAGACTGAAAAATAATGAACAAAATATCTTTATTAGAAAGAAAACATTTATTCAGAATTTTCCTTTCTGCCAGTGAATACCTCATGGTGGGAAAGAAGATAAATTATTTTTCTATATAGAACTAGAACTGAAGCATTAGTTACCTTCTGTAACATATCTGCTTATCAGGTTAAGGGCCCTGTTAAAATTATTTTCAAGTCTTAGTTACTTCACCAATAATTCTATTAAAATTTGCACTGCTTCAGAAATTGCACTCAGATTCAGTTAAAAAGTTCTTGTTATGAAAGTGGGTAGTTCTATCCATTTCTTGCACACCTAGGGGAGCTCTTTACTAAGTTTCATCATATCACCCACTCCAAGACTGAATCTAGCTGCTGTGGGATGCTCTCAACCACAACAGTAAATGTTAGGGGGAGGATAGAAGTAGTGTCTGTCTGAGGAAGCCAACAATGGGGAGCACAGCTAGAAAATTAATCTCTAGCACATCAGTCTTTGTTTTCTGTTCATGGCAGAGTCAGCCATGGCTTTTCATGATGCATTAATGAGCTCCTGGTCAGGAATCATCTCTTAATGTAGGAATTTTGTCTGTCAGTTTGTTCTTCTGTACAAAAAAATTTCTCCAGAACCTATGGAAAGCTCCTTGCCAGTCCTCAGGAGTCTATTCCTGTAAACATGATTAATCTTGTGCTGTTACCATCATGTTAGCAACCATGGACTGTCTTCTGAAAAGTAAGCATGAGTTGTCACCAGTTCACATTTATAGTTGCTGTTTCTGAAATATATTTTCTTCTCTCTTTTTTAATTCTCCAAGATTTTCTGAAGCAAGAATCCCTCAGACTACAGGAACCATTAAACTTCTGAAAAAAAAAAAATGCAAAGGAGTGCTGAGTGGAATAACAAAAATATATTTGTGTCCTCCTCAAACCTCTTTATGCTGACAGGCTGAGTGAAACAAACTTCCTTTTCTTGGTTTAAAAATACTTGATTATTATGAATTGTTGTCAATGTTAACTATGGATTTCAACTAACAATACTTACAAATGCTATACAGGGACTGCCAACTGCTATGTTATTATGTAAACCTTATTTCTTGAAGTTGTTGGTATTATTCAGTGCCAATGTGTCTGTGTGTTTGTATGTGATGGAAGGGAAACAATGCTGCTGGGTGACTGATATGGTTGGAGTGCATCTTTTTATGTAATCAAAGAATTTGTCTCATTCTCTCCTCTATTGCAGTTTTACATCCTTGTGTGTCTCTCTGTTTTGTGAAGATGACGAAAATGATTGCATGTTTCCTTCTGCTGTTTGCACACACTCTGCTTTCCACTGTTATGGCAAAAGATCTCCCAGGAAGACATTTCACCCGAAGAAGGGATGTTAACACACAGTCTCTGCTGGGTAAGTTACACTCAAAATACCCCAAACACCACTACCAAAAGCTGTCTCAAATACAAATGATAAAAGGCACACAGTCTCTGCTGGGTAAGTTACACTCAAAATACCCCAAACACCACTACCAAAAGCTGTCTCAAATACAAATGATAAAAGGCATAAGCAGCTGGCCAAACTTACTTGGCTGAGTTAGTTTATAATAAGGAGATTTTCATTTGCCAGCAAGTATGTTTTGCCAGCAAGTATGTGATAAAGTTTGTTGACCAGGTAGCAGCTGTTGAATGAAGGTATATACTTTTGGGGTACCAGATTTACTTTATGTAAGTGGTGTGAAATAATATTTGCTACTGGACTGTTGGCTTGAAAAAAAACAACAAACCAACTTTATTTTCAGTATTTAGAGAAATCCATGCTAGTACTGTCAAGGAGGCTCTGTCAAGTGAGCCTCTTACCATGCTGGAAAGTTTTAGTTGTCTACATGTGTGTAATGTGCATAAAGATGATCAAATGTAAATCTGTGGCTATTGAAATGAGGCTTGTCATTACATTACTTGATGCTAATCTCTTTATTTTGTCAGATTTATTTATAATAAGTAGCTTATTTTATAATTAGTTATTTTTTGTAATGAGCTAATTTCTTCCTCTTTGGCCAAAAATCTTAGAACAGGGTGTATCCATTTCAGTTTGTGGGCTGTCATATTTTAAAATATAAGGTTGATCTCTCTCTTGTTGGTCATCACCTGTGCATCACCAAGCAGTCAACTTTTTCATCTAACAGTTTGTGACTAACTGTCTTTTGCTAATTGTTTAAAGTAATTGTCAGGTTATGAAAACACAGCATGGATGGGGTTTGGACACAGCCTATCATTAGGGATTAATGATTCACATGAGTAGTAGATCTCATCAGATACCTTTCTCCAGCCACAGGGATGGTAAGGACTCCATAAGGGTCACCTGACCCTTAGGTGAATATGAGGAATGTGAAATGTCCTACAGAAGATATATTGGGAAGAAAGAAGAAGAAAGAAAGAATTTGGGAGAAGGGGTGACAGAGACGAGAGCACCACTATGTTTTATCACTGAAATGCTTCTCTAGACAAAATGTCATCCTTTAAATAATGGATTTGCAATATGTTAACCTAAAAACGTTGGTTTTCAGTTCCAGTAGGACAAATTTAAAACTAAGGATAACAGAGTTCCACTTCTAATTCATCATCCCTGAAACAGATACGGTCCTGAAACATTTGGGGTTCTGCCACTGAAAGCTGAAAACCACAGCTCTGGAGACCTAATTCACAAAAAACATGGATAGAGAACAACAAAGATGAATACCCACATTCACATCTTACTTAACAAGAATCTCAAACTTTCAAAAATCCTAAATTCTAAAATGTTATTATATATCAACTCTTCCTGAACCTTTTCGGGTTCCTAGAAAATATCCTAAGTGAGCTTATTATCTTGAGAAATAAACTGCCCATCTCTCTAGAAAATGAGTGCAAAGGCAAGGTGTTATGTGGAGAAACTGGAAGTGCCACATTTCTCCATTGCCATTTTCCCTGTGATTTTTTAAAATTCCTTTTATAGCCTCTCTTTCAAATTTAAATAGTGGAAAATATATGATGGGTTTAGCACTCAGTATAAATAAAAATGTGTAGATTAAATTATTTATTTACTTTTTCAAAACCCAAGAGATTTCTGGTCCCTGCATTTGAAAACCACTGGATCCCTATTCAGTTTGGCATGTGCAGGATGCAAACAGTTCTGTCTAAAAGAACCTTTTCAAGACATTAAATGATGCAAAAAACTTGGAACATTCTCTGATCCAGCCCATAAAAGTACGTGGCAGTTTGGAGTCACGCTCTTGGGTCTTGCATTCTGTTTCAAGAAATTAGGTCACCAGCTTATGTGTAGCAACATACAGAAACAGTGGCATGGTAAAAACATGCCTCTCTGTAAAGAACAGAATGTGTAAAGTGCCACTGTGCTGGAAAGTTTAGTGTTCCTCAAATGGCATGAGGAAGAGCAGGGCCAAAACATGATCTCAGTGAGATCAAGTAATAGACTTATAAAATTACTCCAGAATTCCAGCACCTTAACAGGGATTAGAAGTTGTCACATTCTATATAGTATGCATATTATAAGTAGTGGTGGTGATGACAATTGCTGCTGTTGTGTAAAGACTTGCTTGGCAGGCAAAATGGAGAAAAATAGCTGCAAAGAACCAACAGATACCTGGAAAAGTAATAAAAATTAAGGTTGGGGGTTCAACTTTTTTGGATGGAAGTCTCTTTTTCAGGACTAAAATTAAAGTTTATGCTATGTAAGTGTAACAGTATTAAAATAATTTTATTCCTTTTTTCTTCTTTTCACCATCTTTAAAACAAAATGTACTGCTGTGATAACTAATTACTGGTAAAATGCCAGTAGTGTCCAAGCACAGAAGTAAAAGTAATTGTTCTAGGAGACTGACAAGTTAAATAAGTAAAATGGAATGGGTGAAAAATTCTGTAGGATTGTCCATATAGAGAGAAAAGTACTTTGAGACCCAGGATGGATCCGATGGATCCAGTAGGATTTAATTTTTCATCAGCCATGCACTAATACTTCATAGATTTCTTAATAGTCTTGTTAGGTGTAATTACCTATATTTTAATGAAGTCTTCTGAAGGAATGAGCTGTATGAAAAGATACATATTTTTATTATGCCTAGATTTTTCAACTAAATCTCAATGCACGTTGTTTTAATTTGTCAGGTCTTTGCATTGCTTATTGCTGTATTATTATTATTATAGCTAGTAACTTCTGTGAAAAAGCTGAAATATTTTGTTCAAGGATTTATCAAAAATAGAGTTTTTGGAGCTCTCATTATGTGGCCCTTGAAAGCCAAACTGCTTTGCAGGTTTTTCTTTTATTAAACACTGGGTAAGACTTCCAAATACTAAAAAATTGTCAATTGTGCCAAATTAATTAACTTCTAACATTTTCTTAAGTCTTTTTTGCAGCATATTAGATATGCATGTATTTCAGGTAATAAAAGAATTTGTATTATATTGCTGGAAGATGCTGTTTTCATGCAGGTGTATTTATGTTTTAAATAACTGTTTCCATAGTTGTGCAAGATCTTGTGAAACAACAGAAATAAATAGGATGGTCAGTTTCTCTTTTCTGTAATAGATAAGAGTCACCTTTCCCCCATCTGACATATGAACTAAATTTTGCTTTCTTTTTCTTCTCATCAGTACTTTGATCCAGAGTTTGGATCAAATTTGGCTTATCCTGATTCATGAAAGGAAAACAATACGTTTTTTTCCTAAAGAAAAGCAGGGATATACCTGCTACATGGTTATAAAGATAAAATTATGTCTGTTAGATTAGCTGATTCCTTTCAGATATAATGAAATGGACTTCTGCACCTGAACAGTCTGATGAAGAGCAGGGCCAGTTGTCCATAGATTTCCATACCATGTTTGCTAGGTCTGTGAGAGGTTCACAGCACCCTTGAGCAGGTTTCATGTTGCTTTCTAGAAACAATATGTGTCCGGTCCTTGGAGGATGTAGTGTCTTTTTGTGGGGTTTTTTTCTGAAGCAGATTTGGGACTTAGGCCCTACTGCATCTTAATAATTTATTATAAAATAAAGCTAATCAAAATTCTCACATTGTAAAAAAGAAATCCCAACAAGTTTTTGTGTTTGCTTTTTTTCTTGATGAACTGTGTTCTTGTATACTGGGCACGTATTTCATATCACATGGTTATACTTCTTTGGAAAGATCTGAAGTGAATGCATGAAAGCAGTAGTGATTACAGTGAAAGATGTAGAACACTGTTCTAAGCAGTAACTTTTTTTCCTTAGGAATATGAAACATGCAGCTACGTAATTTTAAAAACAACTATGTAAAAACTATTTTAGGGGGCATTCCTTTAGATATTACATGGTACCAGAAGAAACAACAAAAATTAACTGATACTGCACAAAATTAAAACAGAGGGGAAAGGAGACCAAGAAGGAAATGTACTTGGCACCAGTTCAGTGGAAGCTACTGCAAAATGCAAGTGGCCCTGTCTGCATTAAATTATATTTTGCAACAAAATATACAATGGTTTGTCTCTTGCTTGTATATGTATGATTCCACTAATAATATGAAGTAATAGGAGCTACATGGAGCACTCACTAAGTTTATGAATCACTTGCTACAGCCAGTTAAAATGAATCGAAAGATTCTTATACACAGCCCAGTTCTTAAACTTAAGTGTATTTAATTTTAGGGCTCAAGACATTATAGGTTAATCATTCTGTTATTTTAGCAGCAAATTAGAGGAGAAAGTATGTGACAAAAGGGAACCCAACTAATGATGCTTCTGTGGAGCACAGATAAGATTCCTGTTTAGTTTTGGTTTAATTCATTGTATATTTATACAGTAAGAGCTGACCAGGAATCTCTAAATTCTGCTAATATGGACTGTTGAGCCAATGTGGGATGCTTTCTGCTGTAAGAAACTAATTCACAACCTCAACGTATATGTGAATGTATTATTTCTTCACATAAATCTAACCCTGTCAAGTTTTATGTCCTCAGACATAATCCTGTCAGAGTAGAATTATTGTAACTGAAGTTTGTACTGCAGTTGAAGTGAGAATTGTATCACAGAAACTACATCATGTATTAGACATACTGAACTGATACAGTACTCGGGGAGATGAAAATTCTCCCATGCAGCAGATGAAGGTAGGAAGTGGTTGAAAATTTCATCTTTTGAATTACCCCATAATTAGTTAAAATATAAGCACAACTTTAGTCAAACTTATGTAAGGATACAGGGTAATCAAATACCTATCCATTTATTTACCCATCAGCTTTCTATTCAAAACATGAATTTGCCATATAAATAGAACCATATGTTTGGAGAGAGAGCAAGCAAAGCAGTTTACAGCCTGCAAAATCACCTGTTTCTTCCTTCTGAGGTGTGTAGATACATAATGCAAACTTTGTGCCTCAAGGTAAT